GTGTATGTGTGTGTGTATGTGAGTTGAAAATAAGGATAACCAAAAGATATGTATCAACCGAGCTGCAATCAAAGAGATGGGAAAAGGAGACCAGCAACAACAAAAAAATAAATACAATCACACACAGAGACACACAGCCTCGATGAAGATTGTACTTAGGGTCTGCGGTGTTGTGGTTCCTCGAGAAGCGGCTGAGCCGCAGGAGAAGGAGGAGGGGAGTAGGGAGAAAAGAACGCTGAGAAAGACGGAGAGAGAGAGAGAGAGAGAGAGAGAGAGAGAGAGAGAGAGAGAGAGAGAGAGAGAGGGAGGGAGGGAGAGAGAGAGAGAGAGAGAGAGGGGGAGCTGGAGGCAGACATCTACAAAGTTGGCGCGTTGGGAGAACACCTTATAATTATCTACATCCGCTCTGTCAGCCCCAGCCCGCAGAATGGACAGATACAACAGAGGGAAATGGAGAGCAAGAGAGAGACTCTCATTCACGTGTAAAAGAATGAAAAGACAACATCCACTGATAAACCAACACACATGCAAACACCCACAAACAGTCTGTATTTTTACAGGCAGGCAGGCACGCCCACACGCAAACACACACGGACACGCTCACACGGACGGGCTTATTATGGGGCTGAGATCCAGACTGCGTTGAGTGCGGTTCCACACCAAGTGTCTATTTTGAAGGTTCGTAAGCCAATTCCAGATTCCCTGTCTCTTTCTCAGACCCGCTCCACCTTTCCTCCTCAGTTCCACCCATACAGCCAGCGTGGGGCGGCTGCGATGGTATTAAGAGGTCATACAGTAGGCTCCATAATTACCCACGGCACGGGTAATTATCAGGTTGTTTGACGAGGCCCTTTGAATTTTGAAGTGCCGCCCGCTGGCTCCTTTTAAGGGATCACAGTAGGGTCAGGTTTGGCAGTTTGATGTGTTTGCATTCACTGTGTGCTGTATGTGCATCGACTGACCTTTAGGGGTCAGTGTTCCTCCTGAGGGTTTCTTACGGTGTGGGAGGTGCAGCACTGTCGATGGATTGTGTTCAGGAATGTGGTTGTGTGCAGGTCTGAATTGATCCGTGGGAGTGTGTCATTGTCTTATCTTAGCAATTCATACGGTTGCTATATTGCGGAAGTATAGCAGCAGAAGTACATTTGGTTGTGCAACATTAAAGCACTAGTATTTTAGATGATTTCAACATGCATTTTGCTTGGCAACTCTAGGTGATTTTCACTCACTTCTAATAAACTGGGTTGCCATTTTTCAGTTATTAGTTGTTCAAACAAGTCAGCTTTCATTTGATTTGCGTGCACTCTTTGCCGAACACACTTATTTTAACTTGGACTTCAGGTTCACCTTATGTCTCCCTAATGTTCCTAGTCCAGGCAAGTTGGTAAGAGCTATTCTAGTCTCAAGGAGAAGAGAAAATCATTAACTCCCATGATCATAGTTCTGTCCCCATGAAGCCAGATCCTTTTAGCTGAGAGATGTCTAACTGACCCCACTGGGAAATCATTTACTCTGCACTTGCTGCGCCAGCCGTCCCATGAGAGGTAATTTTATCTACCTGCCTCCATTTCTCAGTCGTTCTACCTCTCAAACTGCTCACTCTGCAGTCGTTCGCCTGTCCTTTCCAGCAGATGACTATCAGTCCCTGGAGGCGTGTCATCAGCACTCGTTTGAGAATGATTTCATGCGACCCCCGCTCGCACGCTTATATTTATCTGACTGCCCGAATCACAGGCTTGTTCTTGTGACTGTCCTACTCCTGGGCCTCAGTCTCTCTCTCATTCTCTGCTCGTGTGATCGTCCCACTCAAAGGGCCCGGCATACTCTTTCGCTCGGTGCTTGTTTGACTGTCCTTCCCAGGAGGATTCCTCCTTGTCGTTCATTTGACTTAATTACTATGCCGGCTTTCGTGGAGGGAGAGAGGATGAGTGACACTTCACTGAACGACCAGCCTCTCTTCCTACTGTATGTCTGCCAGCTTTTCCTTCATTAAAAGCCGATCTCCGCCGTCACCCACACCGTGCCTCCACCCCTCTCCTTCCTCCCACCACCCGCCACATTGTGGGTGTTAACCGAGAATTGTCCCCCGACAGGCATCAAGAGAGGCATCAAACACCTGTGGGCTGCAGACACAAGCGCAGTAACTGGCAAGCATTGACACACAAAAGCCTCATTTCCACCACATGGTACGACAAGCTTCAACTTGACTTGCTTGGAACCGGTCTTTTTTGGTTTTCCATTAGCAGAAGTTGTGGATAGTACCTGGTGTTACCACCTCGGTTGAAGTTCCAAATGTACTGAGCCGATAATAGAAGGTGGCGCTAAAACACTGCAGACCACTGATTGGTCAGAAGGAATCTCTTTTGGCGCGCTCATCCTGCACAAACCCGCCTTTCTTAAATAAGCACGCTAGCGTCAATAGCGACCGCAGTTTGTTTATCCACTCGGTGCAGATTTTTAAAAAATGGCAGCCCACAAAACCATGCCCTGGTCATTTGAATAATTGCAAATATTCCTCTGTGTCGCACCAAAGATGATGTCACAGCATTTTACGTGGTGTCGGAATGACTATCAGATGCCAGCAGTGACAGTTTACTGGTACCTGGTACCAAAAGTGAGTCAAGTCGAGCCGAACCATGCAGTGAAAATGAGTCACAGGACAGCGGCACACGATACACTCTGGATCCTTTACATCCCATGTTCACGCACACAATGACATGACGACATCAGAAGCCGACAGCAGTTTGCAATAAACACATAATTAGAGAAACACCGACTCGACAGAACAATAGAAGATACCGATTTGTGAGCTCATGCATACGTGCGCGGGCACACGGACAAAACCAGGTGTCTAATTATATGGGCGCATGCCAGACCTGACACATTTGTGCCTCGCCAAAACACACACAAAGTCACACACCAAGACACCATTTACAGTCTAAGGGAAATCACAGGAGAGGGTGTTGAGTCCTCACACCAAGACGTGGCAAGAACATTCACACACACACACTCACACACACACACTCACACTCACATATAAACAACCAGGCTTTGGTGCACTTTTAGCAGAAAATATTGTACATCCACTAAAGTACATCTATCATGACAGGCTACTCCTTTGCTGCAGACCTGCTCTCTGGGTTTGACGATACACTTCCATCACTCGTAAAGTCAGTCAATGCAGACTTTGAGACATATCTCTTGTCTAGTATTGCTGTCAGCGACATGTGCACTTGTCAGACTGAACAGTGAGGAGGATCACAAAAGGGGGCAGGAGGGAACTATATTCACATACTTTAAACAGATGGCTGTGCAAAGAAGGGATGACATTTTCCCATCATGCCTCGAGGCTGCGTCTCGTGTGAGCGGACATGATGGAGCCCAGGGGATATATGACTTGTAGCAGGTAAGTTCAACTATGATTCATTCCAGATTTATTTGGTTCAGGTTGTAAATGCGTGTCATCGCACTTTAGAATCCTTTATCGTGAAATGCCAGCCACACCAAACCAATGTTAAAATACAAAAGTCGCATGCTTTTTTTTTTTTTTTTTGATTTAGAACACAGACAATTACCATACACGCTTGGAAGTTGAAAAGGGTGATGAAGGGAAATATACTATACCAAAATTACAACTTGCACTCCATCGAAGGAATAAAGCATGTCATATAGCAGGCCTCTAAACATAAGTTCCACCAAAATGTCTCGGCTAAAGATAGAGACTGAATTAGAGTGACAAACATCACATTCACCCTCTTCATGACTAAAATTTTCCCTCAACGTAGATTAAAATGATCTGAGGAACCGAAGCTTTGGGTGACAGTCAAGCACACAAGTGGATGCCGCTAAACAACGGCGAATCAGCATGTTCATAAATTTTCAGAGAGCATGTTTTATGAGAGAAACGGGACTAAAATAAAGAATCGAGAGACCACACTCCCAGCCATATACTTTCGGTCATGTTTTAGGACAAAGAACCGCAATAGCCTCCTTGACTGACATTAAAAAGCAAAAAAAAAAAAAAAACCTCCCCAAAATATGCCAAAAATGTTGCCAGTTATTTCTAGCTGAGATGAAAAGTCTGCTATTACAAAGAGCCTGATTTAGTGTAGGGTGTGAGAGAGGAGCCGAGACAGAAAGAGAGAGCGAAAGAGAGAGAGAGGGAGGAGGAGAGGAAGAGCCGGCGCTCCGCAGTCTCCCCTCAAAATAACACAGAAGGAGAGGGAATAACATGTTTGCTGTGTACGTCAAGAACTTACACGTGCACAGTATAAAACGACGCACGAAACTCCCTCTCATTCGCTCCCAATACCGTCTGCTGCACATCGATCATTTCATGCACACACATTGAGAATCAACATGCATGTACAGTTTTCCATTTAAACATAACTCTACAACTGTTGGATCCATTTAGGGACACAGTAATGAGAAGTCGGGAAACCTGCACGGCCCCTTAAAGAAAGGCTCTGTGTCATGACCGAAGCAGAGTTTTTTGGGACCGAAGCCATTAAAACAGAGGCTCCACTGCCTGTTTGGAGCACTTAACAGGGGCGCACAGTACTAGCAGAAGGGGACAGCACAAGGGGAAAATTGGTACAGGGGCCAATATATACATTTAACTCCAGGCAACAGCATTTCCTCAGCATATGGAACCAATCTGACTATTTGTAAGAAGAACAGTGGATTCTGAGAGACAGCCAGGGCGAGGGAGAAGGAAGGAGTGAGTTAATGGGAGAGCGGAATATTGACGGGTAACCAGAGAGTTAGATGCTGTGCACTGACCAAGAGGCAGAAAGAGTGAAAGAGAGAGACACAGAGGCAGAAATAGATTCACAGAAATAGAGGAGGAAAAAAAGGGATATTCAACATAAGAAAGAATGGATGAAAAGAAAAGCATGAAAGAGCACGAAAAACAGACTAGACGAGCGACGTTAAAAGCACCAGCAACGGCCGCGGTCCCATATATCCTGGAGACAGGGGAGAACGGAGAATGGGCTTACCCTTGTATGACAGCTTTAGCCTGGGTACGTTGTGCTTGGGCTCAACACCTCTTCCCGGCTGCACCGCCCCGCACAGTAGCATTACAATCCCAAACAGGTAATCCATGGTGCTGGAGTGCTGCTGGCCGGCCTCCAGACCAGGGGGCACTCACACCCCGACCAGTGCACAGAGATGAGTGTCTCCCGCTGCGGTCCGCCGAGCCTGGAGAGTTCCTCCACGCGAGCCCTGACAGTGGAGGGTTCCAGAGAGGGGAGAGAAACAATCCTGGTTGTGCTCCCCAGCTCAGAGAGCAGACAGTGGGGGGGGGGGACTTCTGTAGTGTGAAGCGGGTGGAGGGGCGCCGCTCACATGGCTCCCCGTGTGGAGGTCCAGGCAATACAGTCCCTTGGCTTATCTGTTCTCCCCCAGGTGAAGGCTCAGCAGGGCTTCAGCAGGGCTTCAGCTTGGCGTGAGATGAGAGGTAGAGCCTGTGTAAAGGTAAATCAGATCACTTATCCAAAATAGTGAGGCTGTCCTTTTTCTGGAGATCTTTTTTTATCTCTTTCTTTCTTCTGGCTTCTTCTCTTTGAGCAGACACTCACAACAACCCTCTAATCCTTGTGTGCGGCGCTAACAGACTGCGAGAGAGAGAGAGAAAGAGAGAGCGCTAAACCATCCACGGGAAGAGAGGGGAGGGGAGGGAGAGCAGCTGAGAGAGAGAGAGAGAGAGAGAGAGAGAGAGAGAGAGAGAGAGAGAAGAGAAGTGCTGGTGAGAGGGAGAGAGAGGGGGGCAGGATGGCTTGAGAGCAACGATAAAACCAGGATAGTGGATGGTTAGGTTTTTATAGCATTTTCTCTTCCCCACTTTTTCCTTTTTTTTGTCAATCATTGGTTCTCTATTTCCTTTATGTTCATATCTCACGCACACTCCTTAAACCTTACGGCGTTTGCTGGTTTTATTGCCCCTGTCGGTTGTTTTGCGGGTCACCTGTATGTCCTAAGGCAAAAGTCAGAAAAAAGATTGACACACTGAACTGATAACTGCCAATAAATCAAATTTAATAAGGCAACGTTTCAACCCTCACATCTGTAGGATCTTTTTCTTTTGTCCCTTAAGTTACAGGAGGCATTTTTCTGTTTTACATTGTTTTATAGAAAAAACTGCAGGAAGTGATTATTTTTTTTTGTGATTGGGAAAGCACACTTTTGATCTTGGAAACAATAATTGACAAAAACGTCTCACCACAAAGCCCAAATACTAGCTGCTATTCATGCATCGTACGACTCAGCAAAGTTCCCCCAGTTGTCATTGTTCTTTAGACGTTAGACTTTTAATTATTTCAAACACTTCATTCATGTTGAATTACATGTTGACACTGATTTTGTTTGAGAAGCAGAACAGACATCTTGTTAGAATTTTAGAGAATTTGGGGGGAATGTATGCATTCCAGCTTTTTCACCATCTGCCCACTTTATTTGCTGCAGCTGGGTCATTATGTGAGATTATTTCAAGACTATTTTTGGGAAATACACAGACAATATACAGTTTACATAATTAGCAGTTTGATTACTGAATGCGAGAAAGGCCAATGAACGACCCTCCGCATCATCTATTTAATGTGAAATGCACTGAGGATCCTATTTATGACCGCTTTTTGTTCTCCGAGTTGAAATTTAGGATTGAAGGGGGTTTGTAAGAATCGGACTGGATGACATGGATGAAGAAAAACAGTCACGGTCCTGGGAAAAGTTAAGAGAAATGAATCACCGCCAGGCAAGACAGAACAACAGTTTCTAATTTCTGTCACAGCCATATCATGTACACTCCAGGTCCTACTTCAACAGAGATTATACGAAAGATTACTTAAAAAAAGGCCCGTCTCTGTTCTTTTGAGTTCAGAATTGACAAGTTTATTCAGAGAGTTATGAGGAGTGTTGTACATAAATTACAAGTCGCAATTTTCCCACAGAGAGTATAGCTTTCGAGTGTGTTTCTGACTTATCCAGATGAAATCTGCCGGTTGAGGGGAACACATGCTGGTAGTTAACCTGTGTAGTCTGAGACGGATCCTGTATCTGGTTAAGTCATTTACATCAGCAGGGCAGGTTAACAACCAACCCCCCCCCCCCCCCCCCCCCCCCCTCTCTCTTCCCAACCCCCGCTAGCCCCTGCAGGTGTTTGTGTGTGAGTGGGGCACCTCCTGCTTCCTCTCAGAGGGTGACATAGCAGTGGTTAGGTGATAAAAGCTTTGATAAACAGGAGTGCTGATGTGTCAACTCACACACCTCAGGACACCAAAAGAAAACAACCTGAGAATTGGGGCTGATATAGCGAGCCTGGCGAGTGTGTGCTTGTGAAATAAGGGTACCCTCATATTCCAGCGCTCCCACCAGTGCTTTGTGTTTGGAAACTATTGTTGATGCATTGTAAAGCATATCCGATCTGGGATTTTGTGTGTGTTGTATATAATAGCAACAGACTTTGTATTTTTTTTGACAGGGATGTTGGTTTCCTAAATATTTTCTGTAAAAGTCACAAGGAAATGTTCATGTGGGACGTCTATCTACTTTAAGGAACACCGTCCTTTAAAGCCAACAGCAGTTCATCAGAACTTGGATCATATTTTGGTAGTTTTGGATATCATTCCTATTGGTAATGTAACATTGTACTCTCCGAGATAACTGCCGAGATCTGGAAACACAGCTTCAAAAAGTCTTAGCCAAACTTATCTAGAAGAGAAGGATGAACATCCAAACTTTCCATGTTAAATATTCATCACAGTTTATGGACCATTTTCCCTGTTTCAACTTTGACCTAATGTACTTACCGTAGTTGTGGGAATCCAGTTTTGCTGTGTAATGATGAATTATACTGACATTTCAGGTGCATTTAGTTTGGGCTTACTTCCAAATAAAGTGGATTAGATAATCTAGCTTTACGGTCTACTTGTATACAATCTATCTGATCGCTGTACTGCCGTGTCACAATATTACCCAGATCTCAACAATTAACTTAGTGCGTACATTGTTGACTAATAGAAACTATGGCTAAATCTATGAAAATAAGGCCAAAGGTGTAATATGAGGATCTTGTTTAAGTCATGTTGACCCTGTATTTGTTGAAGTTGTTCTGAAGGAATCTTGATGAGTGCCAACATGCATCCGTGTTTTCCATTGTGCATTCACATCCACAACCATGGCGCCCACGTCCTCTTCTCTCATCGCCCCTTTAGTCCAAACAGCCTTTTTAGCTGTTTACCCAAAACAAAAAGATGTGTGCACAGACACATGAAAGTATTCTCTTCTCTTCTCGCACTCAGCCTCTCTCCATCGACCTCTGCCTCTCTCCTCTGCCCTGATCGCCCACCTCCCTCCCATTTATCTGCATCAGCAAGACTAATGGCAGCCTGGCTACCTGCACAGATCTTCACCGGTGGAGTGAGATGTGCTGGAACACGCCTTTATGGCTTGCCCTTTAGGGAGTGCAGCAACAGTCCGACCTATCCTTGCCGATCTATTTGCGACACCCCACCCGGCAACCCGGCAGCCGGAGTGGCCCTGAGTAATGACGACTTAATAAATGGTGACACTCCGCTGGCGCTGGAATGAGATGCCCATTGACAAGGAGCTTCCAGAGGCTTTCAGCGCCTGCCGGTAAAAATAGAAGGGGACACGAGACACCATGATTATGAGGACACCGCGGATAGGGGATAGGCGTCAAACGGGTTTTGTGTGTGTGGCCAGTGTCAATGTGCTGTTACTGATATGATGCTGTATCTTCATCTAGGGGTATGGGAAGTACTCTTAATGTTCTGTGTGTGTGTGTTAGAGAAAATAATTACGGTAACATGAACCCAGATGTCCGTTTTATAGAGAACATCGGAAATGTCCCACCCTGTACATGCACACACTGCCCTTCAACCTTTCCCCTTCTCTACTGTAGCACACGCCTAAAAGTTGGCCCGCTCACATCCTAACTGACCTAACGTCCCTGAGGCCCATTGCCACTGCTAGCACAGGATAAACTAAGCACAGTTTGGATAAATGACATGCGAAGTTCAAGGTACGAACAGTCATCACTTCCTTTTGTACCACAGGAGTTCCTCTTCTTATTCACTTCCTGTTCAACACCACCTCCTACTCAGTGTTACGGGAGGTCAAACAGCAACACCTTACTCAGCAAATGACACGTCCAGGATGCACGGATGAGGGGGGATGGACAGAGGAAGAACAGTAGCAAGTAGTGGGCGTTATGACAGAGCAGCGTTTCAGTTTGTGAGGTAGTGGACTGCTGACCAAGGCCTTAAAGCTGCTTATTTAGCAGGCTAAGGCAAAGACACTACAGTGAGTGTTTTTTTTGTGTGCACAGGTATGCACATGGTGGGGCAGTATCCTCGATCATATGACATCATAAAAGATGTAGTAACAGCTGACAAGGGAGGAAAGTGAAACTGTAAGCTTTATCATGGGTGAGTTACATTGATGACGTTTATTGCAAAAAAGGAGGATAAGACAAGGCACATAAGTTACGGAGATAAGTGTGCAACTCTAGACTTTTTCACCACCCATTTGGCTGTAAAAAAGGAAGATCACCTAATATATCACCAGTTGCACATGCAGTATGACACAATTAAACATTTACCTGAATGTGAAGACATGGGAGGGTAACAAAAAAGAAAAAAAACACAAGTGTAGGCAATCATTAGTGTAACTCTGTAAACCTGTCCGTCTCTGTGAGAGCTGTACAATGAGCTATATATCACAATATATGAAGCCTGAAAGCATGTCTCCGTTAGCATGTTAAAGTGTCAACTCAGGGTTTATAAAATTCAGACAAAGAGATCATTTTAACAGAAAAGACATCTGGAGTATGTGATAGAAAGCTGGTCCGGCAGTTACGCGATTAAAGAGACATACTCTGACCTATTTTATACAAAATATATGAACTCATCCCCCTATTTCATCACCTGTCCAGTCAAGTGCTGACACCTGTTTCTGCTCTTGCATGCTCTTTTTGCCCCACTCTTACTCGTCAAACAAAGTGGTGGTTTCATTAAAAATCCATTCTCGAGCTCATTAACAATGCTTCCTCTACGCCAGAAAAGCCTTCAAACCCCGGCGGAGGGAAATGGGAGGTTTCCCTCCATTTCATCGCTTCTCAAAAGGTCAGAGGTCTACCCCCAGGTTTACAATGAGGTCACGCAACCCTGCAGCTTGAGTAATATCTTTTAGCGGGGGCCTTCGCATACATACACGCGGCTCCATGCGTGCACATCCAGTTTCCGCATCCACTCAAGACAAGTACGGGAATGAGAGGATAAATAAACAAAAAGTGGAACCACATTGCACCATGGGGAGAGAAAACACCACCGAGCTGTACCATCTGTTGCAATGAGGGAGCGACGAAGGGGAGTTGTCGGACGTATTTATTCATTGCTGATACATTTCCATCCATCTTCTGGTGACGGAAGTCTCCTGTGGAGCCTTGCCTCACACAGATGTGTCCGCTCCACTCATACGATGACGGTGGTGCGAGGCAGATCAAGAACCGTTTACAGGAAGCGAGGAAACTTGACTGAAACCTAACACTGATTCATGAAATCTGATCTTTTCCTGCTGACGTTTGTGTGG